AGCGAGCTTAGAGAAAACTGCAGGATGGTTCGCAACCCCAATAAGACAATTTAGCCGATTTTCGAACCGTTATGACAGAAATGGTTCAATAAAAAAATTAAAAGTTTTTCAAACAGAACACGGGCTTGAAAATTATTACTTCAAAATGGCAAACTGTACATAAATATTAAAGTCTAGTGTTTCTTCTTTGACAGCTGGTCTGACAGTTGGTCTAACAACTTTCTCTCTAGAAAATTTAAAATTTCTAAGAGCACCCTATATATTCATATGTATGTCGAAATTTTAGTATTTACAGTAGCACTTTTACTTTAATTTCGTATTTGTAGCACGCATTTTATGGAAGCCATTGTGTCATCACAGTAAATTATAGGGCTGATCAAATGGGCGTGGTTAAGAAAAACAAAGGTTGATGTATTTTGTGTGAGGAGAAACTGTCAAACCGTTTACGAAAATTTATATTTGTAGGTTTAAGAAAAAGGGATTATGGTAAAAACCGCAAGGGGATCAATAGATCATAATATAACTGTTTCTGGTATCTCACACTTAAAAAACGTTCTCAATATTCAATGAGCACAAACTTTTTGAAGAGTATAGACCATAGTATAGTACTTGGGGTTGGTCGGTTTTTTTTTATCGTCGCTCCTTTGATGTGGTACTTTTTTTGCGAAGAGTCATATTGAGCGGTCTAAAAAGTTGTTCCTTCCTCTTTTTTAAATTTCCTTTTCTTTTTTGTATAATAATTGATGCTTTACTGAACAGCCTGCGAAAGTTGCAGTTATTGAACAAAACTCAAATGTTATTTTTCAGCAGTAAAACTAAGTTTAGTAGATTAGATGTCAAAAAAAAAATAATAAAAAATATGAAATCAGAAAGACTGTTTGAATCTTAAACTGCCATTACGCAATGATGAAGCCTAGCTAATACAAAAAGATACCAGCTCATAGGCTAGAAAAATACGCTTCAGAAGTTATTAGGACTAAGAGGTGCTACATTTCGATACTATTTGTCGTTTTATTAACTAGCAATAATTTTTTCTAAAAGCTTAAGGTATATATGTAAGTATATAAAAGCTCCAAATAAATATTTCCACATTTACGCCGCACATTTGTGGCATAAACGTGTACACCTAACCCCATGCAAATGCCCAGCCGCAGACACAAAAGCGCTACACAGCAATCGAATCTGCAAATCCACAATACCGATTTCATTTCGCTTCGCTTCGTTGCGATTCGATTTAATGGAAAATCGACCGCAAGCCGCAACACGCTGCGACGCCGCTGCGCCGGGCGCTCCATTTGGAGAAATTGCAATCGGCGCGCAGAGACCAATTCAAGTCGCAGCAAAACAAATATCATAAACCGCAAAACCAACAAACGCTCATACATAACACAAATAACTTCACGCTACACATTTGCACACAACTGTGTAAATAACTGTAGTTACACACATACAGGCATGCACTTGAATAATAGAAGGTTTGGGTCGTAGTAGCTTAGACGCACAGCAATCTACAACCTACATGTCGCTGTCAGATAATATGCATTTATATGCGCTTCCGATGTGAACGTGTTTGTAGGCGACCTCAAGACCCCGGCGATGTACAAGTATGAGTGTCGAGTGCTTCTTTGCGCGTTGCACGAGAACTCGTAGAGATTTGTGGTTACGCGCAACATTTGTTTCCACGCGCATGTATGATGGTGTATGTGCGTACTCTGTAGCACTTAATAATTGACAGAAGAGCTAAGAATTACAGCACCAAAAGATTGGTTCACTTTTTTCACCCTCTGCTTCGTTCCTTCTGGTTTTTAGCTCGGCTGCCCGGCAGGTCGTGTGAATCGTTGGTCGCTCCGTACTCGGCTGCCGGAGTTTGTAGTTCGTTGTATACTTAAGTGTTCCGTGAAATGAATCGAAAATTGACATTCGATTTACAGGACCATTGCACTGCAACAACGGTAATTGCTACAATCGGCGCTCACTTAGCTTTTATAGCATAGTGTGTTGTATGTGTGTGTGCATGTGTTGGCGAGTGCCTCCTGCTGCTGTTGGCATTGCATTAATTGTGTTTGTGGTGGCGGCGGCGGCGGCGGTTAGCAAAGCGACTTGTAATCCGGGCGTACGAGCCAAGCCAATAAAACTATCGACAATGTCAGCCACAGCATCCAAGCAACTGACATTTACTTAAAAGGAAAACAGTCAGGACTTTGATACTGCTTAATTGCATGTATGTACATGTACATATGTATGTGTGTGTGTTTATGCTGGTGGCGCTGTTTAGCTTCGCATATATTTTTAGCCATTTTGTTATTTATCCCATCATTATCATTTATCTTAAGCAAATTTTTAAGGTTGTATCGCTCTAAATGGCCGCAAATAAATTAATTGAAAATTTTGATTGATTATTATTAACGCTTTAACAAATATTTGCTCAGAGCTACCATTACAATAGGTGGCACATGTCTTTTTAATACTTTTCTAATGGTAGTTTAAGAAAACCGAGTTATTGTATAATCTGAATGATATCTTTTTGTCTCTCCATTTGTTCGAGCAACCTTTGGGTTTTGCCAAAATTAAAATATTACCTCGATAAAAATTATACGAGTATATATGTATGGATCACAAGCAGAAATGTAGTATATCCCTGACCTATGCTTACTTGATTATGAAATTTCATACCTCATGAAACTTTTCTAACTTGACCCAAGTAATTCGAAACGAAATGGGTATGTTGTCACGTTTGAAAACTTTATAGTCGTAGGGTCTATTTAACGCTATTAGCTTTTATATAGCGTAAAAAAAGCGATATTATATTAAATTTGGGTGACAATACTTTACTAAGCATGTTTCTTTTTGTCATTCACAGTGGCGGAATCTGTCCGTACTATAGCTTCTATATACGAAAATGCTGATTTTCATCGCTCTGGAACCACATACGTCTAATATAGAAGGTGAAAATTCTTCATTCAATATATAGTGATTCGATATATTTTCCAGTCCAAGAGGGTGCTATATCGCTTTTCGTGTGTCACGCTAATTTTAAATACTCGTAGACATAGGTATCAGCTATTTTTATTGAACCAAGTATCTTAGTTGCCCATGGTGAAAAGTAAGTTAGCACCGATATTGATACTACATATATTCTTTATATACTCGTATGAGTCTAATAACGGCTTCTCCATACTGATTTTGAAGTTGTAACGATATCGGATGATTTTCAGCTTCAGTTTTTTCGTAAAATCTTCTTGAATTCCAAGCAAAATTAAAGTGAATTTTGAGAAATATTTCGTTAAAATATTATATGACTACAACAAAAACACTTTTCGTTCAATGCTTTTCTTGTAATCGGTTGCAGGTGTAAATACACGAAAGCAATTCTCATCGTTAGTTGCAGTAAAAGTGTAAAATTTTTCGAGTAAGCAGTAAATGTTAGTGATTTCTTATGAACGTTATCTATAAACGATTACTCGCTTTAATTGCGGAAGTTGCCATTTCCTTTTCCAGCACTTATTCGCACTAACCACTCTCCACGCGCCGCTAGATGGACGCATAAAATTATATGCTCATGCGGGCGGGCGAACGCTGCTGCCATAATGCCATTAGCACTATTTCACTGCAAATATTGTCACAATAAAGGTGAATCGCTCGTAGACACTTTTCAGGTTGGCGCCCACTCCGCTGTCGCCGCCCTCCAAGTGTTTAGTATGTGTTTTATTGCCACAAGCTAACTGTGAGGGAATTACTTGGCTTATTGCAAGAAGGCAGTATGTAAGTAAAAGAAAAATAGCAATAACGGTACATGTCTCCTACTATGTATATGTGCACGAACACAAATGCATGCAGCTTGTGTGGCAGGCGGGCGTGTCGGCGCGATGAAAACTACTTGTTGTGGAAGTGAGTTTAATGGCGGCGTTATGTTGTGTCTCCATTACGTGCCACATGCCACCGTTTTGTATGTTTGAGCGTGTTGCTCTTGCGTGTTTGTAATATGTACATAAATATGTGTGTGTGTTTGTTGTGTAATTGTAGGAAAATAAAGTAGCAGGGAAAAGGCAAAAATTATAAAAGCAATTCACTTTAGGCTAATTTCATATTATAGCATGTCACACTCTATTTATTGTAATTCTATTTTATGCAGGTTTTCGAAGAACTTCTTGCGCATATCTTTGCAACATCGATATGTATAATATATATATGTATCCTCGAACGTACCAGCCGCGCCGAGTTCACTATTAGCTTTGTATGTGTACTTCCCAACAATATTTAGCGCAAATGTCTCATTTCTGTGGCAATAACGGTTTTATAAAAGTGGCAAAAGCGCAGCTCCACCATTCCGTTTGTTTGCTGTTGCTGTTGTTGTGGCTATTGCCATTATTGCTTTTCGCTTCTGGCGCTGACTTGTCTACCGCCTTGCCCCTGCCACCTGCATAGATATCTATGTCTCTTCTCCAACGCTGCGCACGTTTGTGCTCTTCCGACGTGTTGGTAATTTATGGCGCACAGCAGGTAACATTTCGATTGCAGTCATCCGATACTGTCGCGCCATAATATCCGCTGCTCGGTGCCACCTGCTCCTGTCTGCAGACTGCGCGCGCCACGCCTAGCCGGTCTTCGCTATTTGCACTGTCTTTTTAATAAATTTGAATTAATTTTATAAATTGGCTATTGCCATGCCGCTGCATGCCACGCTGCCCGTGTGCCGGCACGATTTATGCTTTGCCTCTAAATTAACGAATTTCTCATTTATTGGAGTTGAATTACATATTTTTTGTAATTTTTCTAGCATCATTTGTGCTGTGCCTGTTAGAATTGCCGGGCTATTGCATTTTTAATGGCTTTCAATGGCCACTTGAGACAGGGACAGTTAGGCGCAGTTAATTCAAGTGGTCATTAACTCATTAATGCAGTAAAATGTGACCGACTAAAATTAAATTACAATAAACTCCAAACATCTACCTGCAGGGATTCAATTAATTATGGTGATTTTCGAAGTGAAGAGCACTCACCTACACTTGCAACATGTTGCACTGAGTATAATGTGTGGTTTGGTTGACCTAACGGTTGTTGGTGGCAGTTGTAAATTTATAGAGATTTATATTAGGTTATTTATTTATTTTATTAGGTTATAGATAAAATAAACTTCTTTGTGAAAAGTTGACATAACTTTGAGCCATATTGGATAGTTCGTTGCGATATCGGAATACGATAGTCATGCACATGGTCTTCAAGCTGAAGATACAGTCAAGCATAATAAGTGAAAATCTATCCATGATAACATAATATAATAATAATAAATTGCAAGCAAACTAAGGAGGAACTGTGTCTCGATATCACCAGGCAGTGCGTGCATCACTTAGTGAAGCCGAAATTAAAACTAAATCAAGAATTAAAATTTGCCAAGCTAACACAAGACAGTTTGAAACGCATCACAGGAAAGACATACAATTTAGAATGAAGAATTCCAAAATTCATTATTTAGTGCACTCTAAATGTTGATGAAATTTCCAACAAAGCTGAAAGCTATTAGAATAGCTGAAATTGCTGCGGAAAGTTTGTTCAAACGAAGTAAAGAGGAAAAATTCTTTGTGCCACCCAAAATGAGCATTAATGTCTATTGAAATCTTAGGCAGAGCGCTTTTTATATTTTCTGAGGCTTTAGAGTGAATATTCTATCGATAATTTTAACCACCAATATAAGTTTAGCGCCTCACCAAAGCATTCTTTCAGTCAATAAGTATTCCTTTACTCAAGTGGTACAAGCTAATCCCAGAACTCAGTGAAATTGAGGATATACTTTCGGATTAGCGACAGTAAAGCGCTCGGCTACAGATAGGAAAGAATCATATTAGGTAAATATTATATATGATATGGAAAACAACGTGAAGGAAGGCTTGAAGAATTTGTTCCTATAATATCAGCTTTAGTTTAATAAAATTTGTTCAATTGTAGCTTAATACTGCTTGAGTTCTGAAGTTCTTTATCCAACCGCAAACTTTATAATTAGAAAAAAATGTAAAAACCCAGAGAATTTAACAAATATTTAATTTAAATACATCAAGTGAAGTGCTTAGGTCAATTCGAAGTACAAATTTGTAGAAAATCTAATCTAAAGAACTGTAAAAATCGCTTCACAGCAGGCACAAACAATTTGTAAGCATCCTTGCTTCAGTCTTTTATGAATTTTTCAATTTTCTATTTCATTTAGTTTTCATACAATTTGACAATTTCATAGCCAAAGCACACATAAAAGAGGAAACGAAATATAACAAAAATAAAAATAAAAAAAACCATAAAGGCTTGCTAAAGAAAACGGCGCACAAAGCATATCAAATCGACTCGTGAAAGAAACTGAAATTTTTGTTTTATTTCCACTCAAACGCAAGCAAACTGAGCGTGGTTTGTGGTTCTTAGCTTTCGGCTATTGCACAAATATAATGGTAAAACGATTACAAACAGACAACAAACCATCGAACTATCCGCAAAGCGAGTGATGCCAATAAAAATATAAATAAATTCATACACGGATACACAAATAAACTGAAAAGGTGGCAAAAGGTGCAAAGTACACCGCAACGAAATGCCATAAACGTGTTTGTTTATCAGCTTACTTATATATATATATATATATAAATATGTATGTGTGTGTTTTGTTGTATCAACATTCGGTTGCGCCAATAAAACACACTGTCTGTGTATGCCCGACCGCCGCATGCAGCGAGGCGAATTTAAAAATTGCGGCTGTCAGACAGACAGGTGTACGCTGGGATAAGCCAAATAAATGCGAGGAATAAAAGTGATATAAGTAGGTAAAGAAGATGCCTGTGCAATGTATGGAGTTTGCAAGTTTGTTGCATGGCAAGTTTGGCGACAAAAAGGTAGTGCAGGAAGAAGTGAGTAGTAACTTTGGAAAAAATCTCATTTCGACTATTGAGCAGGAAAACGCAAGGCGCAAACATAGTTTTGGGTAAAATACTTTGTAGTTTCTATGGGTTCTTTTATACTTATTGTGGAGAGAAAACTGAATACAGTGTTCTAAAATTTAAATAAAAGGTTTGAAGTTTAAAATAGGGAAAGCAATGTATTTTAAGTAAAATTTAAATGGTAGATAATGTATTTTATATAACAATTTCAGTACCCGTTAACATAAAAAAGAGCACTGAGAATAATATTTAAGACAATCTAGAGAGTAAATTTACTTTTGTTTCGTAGCAACAGGAAAAATTATATTAAATTTAACAAATATGCTACAATTTGAAAAACCTCTACAAAAAAGAAATATCTCTTTCAAAAGAATATGGGTTAAAACAGGTTTGCATATATATATATATATAAATCATTTACTAGCAACGGCTCAATATGCGGAGAAACACTGTATTTTGTATGGCATTTACAGATTAAACTATCTATATATTGCTGGTTGTTACGTTAGCGTAGTGAAGTTAAAATGTGAAAGCTGCACTGTGCTCTCGCTATCTTGAGGAAATGGCAAAGGAAAATATTTTTTCAATTCAATTGCAGAGCGAAATTGGCTGATTGCATACGTATAAGAGAGCGATGACAACAAAGTAGAGCAGCGACATGAAAACAAATAAGACATGTAGCCACTTTGAGGAGAATGAAAGAAAAAACAGTGATAAAAAGAGACCAATATGTGCTTACATACACAGCGGACAGAGTCGAGCGCCATGGCGTATACGTGACATGACAATTGCAAGAAGACTATTGCACTTTTTCTTGGGACTGAGATGAACAATTATTTGGAAACAACACATATGTGTAATATGTAAGCAATTTTTGCAGCTGCGGCTTACCGGCTTCAACGACAGCACAGTCGACGCAGGCTGCGTGAATTTCAAAGGAAATACAACAAAATAAATACAAAACTGTTGCAGATGCAACATTGCTTGCACATTATTCCATAGCCGATAGCTCACGGTTTGCCGGTTTTTGAGCTTTATTGCACGCTTCCACTTGGACCTTTTTCTCAAAATGCATTTAAAACAAATGATTGCAAATATTTGTTTCGCCCAAAATGCCAATTCGTCTGCAAAATATTATCAAATTTTCTAGTCTGCTGCCGCAATACTCAAGATACAAAATTACGCTTTAATATTCGAAAAAACGAAAATAAAACGTAAACGACACAATACGATTTGCTGCACTTCGATTTAGTTGTGGCAAATGGTAATCAAGACTAACGGTTTCCACCAGCCTGTCTGCAGTGCTCAACGAAATGTCGTCCCGTTCGATTTGCTGCCGAGTGCACTTGTGTGCATTTCAAAGCAATTATGCCAATTCCTTGACTACTTTGTTTAATTATCTTTCGACATTTCGAGTGAGCGTACTGGCTGCACTAATGAATGCACAAGCATGAGATTGCACTGCCGCAGCGGTGAACTCAAGCAGAGACAGTGTCAGCGGCGGCGTTGGTGGTTTGAAGCCGAAAACCAGTCAGGCAGACAACCAGCCAGTCATTCGGTCGCCAGCCAGTTATCATTTGGCTACATTCATTTCATGGTGTATGCACCAACACACTCCAAACGCCCCTCGCCCGCTTGTTAGCGAAGCGTTTCTTGAGTAACACTTCGTGTTTTTTTTTGTCTTATGCTGCCATTCATTAGTTCTGCTTCCGTTAGAAGTAATCGAAGTGAATGAATGGCTCTGCGAATGCATGAATCAAATTTGTATAAATTTTGTCTGAATTCAAGTGGCAAACAGCAGTGCATTAATTTGCTCAATGAAGTGTGAAATTTTATGGTAATTTCAAGCACAACTCCAATCAACAGAACGCAGTGTTTGTGCATATTCTTATTCAATATTAAAATAATTATGCTTGTAGCATTCCTGTGCTGTTTGAGAAGAGAATTTCTGAAGAAGCAATGCTTCAATTTCATTTATTTAGCAGCAGATAGTTTGTTTTACATTTCGGCAAGTTCCAAGTATGCAAATTTGTAATATTGTAAAATATATTAACTCATAGCTGTCACTTTTGGGGTGGCAGCCTCAAAACCTAGTTATTTTATGACTTGATCTTACGACAGTGAAGTTTTGCTCCGATTAACTTTTCATTGGTGGGTTGGTTGGCTGAAAAAGTGGGGAGGCTATTAAAATGTCTGCTAACTAGGAGCTCTGTTACTTATAAACAAATACAAATAGTTAATTTTTGCCTCTGTAGACCAATAGCTCGCTTATCTAATGGTAAGGATCGCTTTGCTTAGTCATTTTAATCAATCGCAGAAGTAGCAAATAGGGCTCAACAGCCAAACTTCATTCTTGGATGGAGATAGGTAAAAATAGTGCTCTGATTTGTTTGCAGAAAGAGTAGATATAAGCTTACAATCTGACACCATAAATATAATATAAAAAAAGTAAAGCTATATTCGGCAACTTCAAGCATATATGTGAACGTTTCAAAATCGTTATTTATTCATTTTGCTTTTATGTTGCCACTTTAATATCATCAGGCGTTTTTAGCTGTTATGTCCTGAATTCGTATTAACTTATTTATAATGCTTTTAAAACTTTAAATCTAAAAAAAAAATGGAGCTTGAATCAGTTACTCAAATCATAAATTAGATTTTTGAAGACGGCCGATGGAGTTTGATCTAAGTGGTTCGATTGCGTTAGTTTCGGTTAAGCCTTAAAACCGATCTGCGAGCTGGAATTTATACTTTAATAGTTAAAGATAACTCTTCTGTGATGCCAAAAGCTCATGAATATATATATAAATACTAACAAATTGAAAAAGTGTATTGAAATCGTACAAATCGGCTTCGATGACCAAAAAAAAAATTGTTCAAGGTTTGGCCATTATGTGGTATGTATTAAATAATAGTAAAATTATTTACAGTCCTACGTGAGTTTAGCTGCTTTATTCAAAAGGAATCTGCACAAAAAGTTTGTAACTCTTTCGAAGCCAGGAACACCTTAAAACTTATGAAAGGAGGAGCAGTACGACTAAATATCTAGTACATTGTACAACAACGGAGTTAAACAATCACAAAAGTCACAGACAGACAGCGAATTTATATCTAAAGCAAGAAACTAAAGTCATAGTTAAATATGATGTAAGTAAAAAATA